TTCATAATTCGAGAATGTGAAAAGCTAGAAAGCTGAAACTTTAAAGGAATGTTCCCCACTTATGTATGAGCAAAGTCATGTGTTTGGAGGCGCCCGAGCCCACGTACGGGTGCGTGGAAATTTTGGCGCGAAAGCCACTAACCCGGAAGCGTGAGAAGCGAGAAAGCTGAAACTTTAGGTTAATGTCCCCCACTCATGTACGAGCAAAATCAGGTGTTTGGAAGCGCCCGGTGCTCACGTAGGGGGACGTGGAAATATTGGCGCGAAAATCACTAACCCGGGGACGAAAAAAGCTAGAAAGCTAAACTTTTACGCAAATGTTCCCTACTCATGTACAGCCGAAATTAGTTGTTTAGAGGCGCCCGAGACCCACGTGCGCCACACGTGAAAGTTTTGGCGCGAGAATTGCTAACCTGGGAACGGGAAAAGTTAGAAAGCTGAAACTTTAGGGCACTATTCCCTACTCATGTACGAGCAAAACCAGATGTTTGGAAGCGCCCGGGCTCACATACAAGCGCGTGAAAATTTTGGCGCGAAAATTACTAATCCGGGAGCGGGAAGGGCGAGAAAGCTGAAACTTTCGGGGAATGTTTCCTACTTATGTATGAGTAAAATCAGGTGTTTGGAGGCGCCTTAGATCCACTTACGCTACTGAAAGTTTTGGCGCGAAAATTACGAACCTGGGAACGGGAAAAGCTAGAAGGCTGAAACTTTAGGGTAATGTTCCCCACTCATGTACGAGCAAAATCAGGTGTTTAGAAGCACTCGAGCCCAAGTACGAGCGCGTGGAAATTTTGGCGTGAAAATTACTAACCCGGGAACGGGAAAAGCTAGAAAGCTGAAACTTTAAGGGACTGTTCCCTACTCATGTATGACCAAAACATTTTAAATTCAGCTCCTTAAAAACGTCCAGTACTCACGAACGGACACGTGAAAATTTTGAAGGGAAAACTGCTAACTCAGGAACGGGAAAAGCTGAAGGCTTTAGTTTTAAGAGTATGTTCCCCGCTCATGTGCGACTAAAAAATTTTAAATTTAACTCTTCTGGTGTGACCTTTTTTTGCGGACCAGCAACTTTCCATTTGTCAGGTCACTGAAGTCGACACCTATAACTGACATACCACATAGTTGCACAATTAACTTTACGAACTTCGAGGGCTAGTATTTCACCGGGTTAGCTGCTTTGATTCCTTGCACTCTTGCTACGGCACGAAAAGTGCAAAAACGCATAATCGCACCGGCCCGCCTGATGCGTTCCAGCCTGGTACAGCTGTGCAATGCAAAACGCATATTGACGAAGTCACGCACTTTCATCTCAAGGCCTATAAAAGCTGCAGGGCTGGAATTTCGGGAACTTGTTCTACATGCACATACGGTCCCCAATCCCCAAAATGGGCTTCATTACCCGCGTGGTACTCGCGTACGGGCCCGTCGAAATTTTTTTCGGGTAGGTTCATATCTCAGGGATCTGAAAAGGTAGAACGCTGAAATCTTAGGGTGAAGTTCCCCGTCCAACTAGGTGTTAATGCACTGAAACCCATCCCACGGGTAAGCGTGGTACTCGCGTACGGGCGCGCGAAAGTTCTTTTCGGGTAAGTTCATAACTCGGGGATCCGAGATGCTAGAATGCTGAAATCTTAGAGGAATGTCACCAACCGAAGTAGGTATTAATGAGCTCAAACCCAACCTCCAGGTATGCGTAGTGCCCAGGTGCGGGTCCGTGAAAGTTTTCTTCCATTAAGTTGCTAACTCAGGAGCCAGGAAAGCTAGAAGGCTGAAGTTTTAAGGGGGTGTTTCCTGGCTGTTCCAGCGGCCAGTCTTAATTTGTTTAGCTAGAAGCATTTGCTGAAACAGTGTCGTTAGCGACAAAAATTACGGGGAACTATGCAAAAAACGCACCTTCGTACGGGCAGCCCGTGCGTTGGCCAGTTATTGTACATGTGTGTGTATTTGTGTGCGTGTGTGTCCGTGTGAATGTCCGAGTGCATTTTGTCCCACACTTTCACCTCGGAAGCCACAGAAGCTAGGCGGCTGAAATTTTAGTAGAGTGTTCCCTACTAGCAGATTTAAAGTCATCTTTTCCGTGTCACAGGTAACACGTACGGCCCCGTAAAAGTTTTAGCAAGAAAAATTGTTATCTCGGGAACTACGGAAGCTGAAATTGTAAGTGTACGTCCCATACGCATGTGCGACTCAGAAATTTTAAATTTAGCCTTCCCGTGCCCGCAGGTAACACGGGCTGCCCCGTAGAAGTTTTGGCGGGGGGATTATCTCGAGAACCGCATAATCTAGAAAGGAGATTGTCCTCTCGCCCTCCTCTTCTTCCTTCCCCTCCTGCACTGCTACTTTAGGAGATTGTTCCCTACCCACGTTTGACTCACCGATTTAAATTCAGCCTTCCTGTGAAAGTTTAGGCAGGAAATTATTATCCGGGCAACCATGAAAGCTAGGAAGCTGGGATTTAACGAGAATGTTTCCTGCCTACGTGCGACCCCATAAATTCAAAATGAGTTTTTAGCCAAGTTTGGGTCTCAGTTAAGCCCCTGTAAAAGTTTCCGCGTGAAAAATTACTGTTTCCGAAGTCATAAAATATAGGAAGCTGAAATTGTGAGGAGCTAGTTTCGGGGATTTCTGCTTCTGCAGATGCCTGAGAAGCTCAAATTCAGCTCCCAAGTATGCTGAGGTCTTACGTACGTCCGAATCACTGGGACCGTAAAACAGGGAGGTTGAAATTTGGAAGGACCTTACCCGTCCAAGGTTTCAAGTCCAGCTTTCACGTACCAATACGTGAAATCTTTAGTGAGAAATTTCGCAACTTAGGAACCGGACAAAATTTCGCAGTGAAGACCTTTAACAGGCAGACGTACGCTGGACAGAACTGCGAAATCTCACCGGCTGCTCTTGTGCGCGCCGCTATTTATTGTGTTTTGTGCTGTGTAACAACAGCACAAAACGCATGGTCACACCAGCTAGTCTGGTGCGCGTTGCCATTTATTCATTCTGATCCTTCCAGACTCCTCGGCCACTCTTCGACTCTCCTCGAACTCTCTTAGCTGGGAGGGCTGTCCAGAAACTACGCTCCCTAACTGTCCGGGAAATCCGCCTCTGTCCGCTTCTTAATGACTTGAAGCGAGCTGAAAACAGTTGAAAAGATGTTTTTCCTGAAACAATTTGTAAAAATGCGGGTTTTTTTTCTTCGTGAACATGCCACGCGTTGCATCTAAAGTGCAAGCTCTGTCTGTGTGTATGTGTGTGTGTTTGTGTGCGCGTGTGTGTGTGCGTGTGTATATGTATGCATATGTGTGTATGTACATATGTGTGTGTGTGTGTGTGCATTCGAATTTTTGTCTTTGGTTTTCAACTCGGCAACCAGGAAAACTAGGAAGCTGAAATAATATCAGGCTGATTGTTTCCTGCCCTTTTGCGTTCTTGCAAATTTAAATTCTGCTTTCATGCACTTTTAGCCTCCGTTTGAGTTTAAAGAAAATCTCTAGATGCACCTCAGTGAATTGAGGTTTCTTCAGAGCATCCCTCGAATAATAGCTTCTGTTTGGCGGCATGCTGTCAAAAACAACCACTCATTATGCCTGTTGATAGTTTTTTGTACTACAATTCGGATTACATCGGCGTACTTCCATAATTCATGGAGAATGTGTTATGAGTAT